TAGAAATATTGGAAATAATATTTAAAGAATGTAGAACTATTCAACACCCAACCGATCAATATTATTAATTAATTTTTTCCTTCAACATATTATAGATATATATAATATATAAATTATTACAGGGTCAAGTTGAGTGATGATACACCTATAACATATAATTAAACCATATATTTCAAAAAAAAAGAAACATGAAAAATTGGGGACAAGGCATTTGAGTCTAATTATTGGAGAGCTTGATAATTCTTGCTAGGCAGTTGTCTGCAGGCCTTGGAATGGGTAGGTATACGATGGGGCTGGCAGGATTGAGCCGTTCAAGCCTGAATCATGTGAAGACAAATTATTAATTAATTAATTAAGTAGAAGTGAAAGTATGAATTAGAAAACAAATTATTAAGTCTGTAATTATTGACCTGTAGTTGAGAAGGAAATAGTGGAGGATAATGGAGACCTCAAGCTTAGCTAGGTCAGCTCCTGGGCATATCCTGCTTCCTCCTCCGAATGGAATGAAAGAAGTTGGTTTGGGTTTGTAATCCTACATCAACAATTATTGATAATTTATATATGTTTATTATATGTATTTATTCGTGAAAAATATGTATATATAGAATAATTAAAGTAGAGAAAAATTCTAAAAAGGTATATATAAATTTAGAAATTAAAAATTAAAAAACATTTTGGAGAAAACTTACATCCCATCTGGATGGAGAAAACTCTGTTGGGTTTTTATGGATTTCAGGATCCATGTGAACGCCTCTATTCCACACTAATACTTTCCAGCCTTTGGGTATTAAATAACCTGATCAATGGTGCCATAATTCAATCCTTCAATAATTATTAATTCGTGTTCTACAAATATAAATATGATTCCTTTATTTTAAAATTTGTCAAAAAAAAAAAATTGATAAAATCTACCAAATTATCTATTCTATAGAGGAATTAAAAAAAAACAGAAATTAAAAAGCAAAAAAAAAATTAACACTATATACTAACCATTTATAGTTACATCCTTTTTTGCCTGTCGGAAATTTGAAAATGAAAGACTTGTTCTTCGAAGTGTTTCATCAATTACCTACCAATTTTTATCATTATTCTAAAAAATTATACAGAAACAAATGACAATTCTTTTAATTAAAAAAATAAATATATAAATAAACATATCATACTTTACTAGTGTACCGCATTTGTCTTATCTCATTAAGATTCAAACCCTTCTCGGTGGATGCTCTTCCCTTCACCACCTCCTCTTGCTCTTCCTAAAATTTCAATGTCAAGTTTAATCAAACTAATTATCAACTACTAAGTTCCAATATTAATAGTTCTATGTATATAACAAGTATATAAATATATATATATATATTAACATGGGCCTTCTGCAACAAGTCTGGATGTTGATTGAGGTATATAATTGCCCACATTGCAGCGTGTGCTGAGCTTTCATGTCCGGCTAACAGGAAGACAAGCAGTAAATCTATAATATCCTCGTCTTCCAGCTTCACACCATTCTCATCTTCAACTTCCAACAATAAATCAATCATCCCTCTCTTTCGATTTTCCCAATCTTCATTTTTAAGTCCCTTCCTTTCCTCAAGAACTCCTTGAAGAATCTCCACCAACTTCTCTCGTGCCTACGCATCCCATAGACAATAAAAATCTATTAAGAGTATTAATTCAAGTGCGTGTTAAATAACTTAGTTTATCGATTATACCAAAAGTTTAAATGGATGAGAAACTGCTCAATTTATTATTTATAAATTAATATTCTCCTTCATGTGTGATATTATTAAGTTTCTATGGTGATACAAAATAATAAAAACTACATACTAATAGCACAATATAATACGAAATAATATAAACTGATAAGAAGTAGCACAATATATTATCTACATACTAATGGGAGTTGAACTATGTGAATAGACATACACTAAGATGTAAATAGGACATACTTTGAGTGCCTTGTGAAAGGCAAAACCAGGGATATTAATAGCAGCTGCCTTTAATCCATAGTTGAAATCAACATAGTACTTCTCCATTAATTTACGGATGGAATCATTATGAGAACCCAAGAATATGTAGGTAATGACTTTAAACGCAACCTTTCTCATCTCACTTAAGAATTCAATTGGGCAATGCATGGAGGCCCACTCGTCCAATGAACTAACCACAATGTCCTCTATATAGGGAACATACATCCCCAGAGCGTTGTGTCCATTGATGGGCGAGGTGGTGAGCTTGCGTAGACGCTTGTGCTCAGCATGTGAAATACTATGAAATGATCTTTTTCCAGTCAACTGCTTCGTTGAGGCCGGGTAGCCTAGTGCAAAGTGCTCGTCATCTGCTAACACTTTTCGGCAAGTCTCCGGTATGCTCACAATGATGCTTGGGCTCCCAAACACATATGTCTTATATATACCAGTTCGTCCATATCTACACATCATGCATCACATATGCATACATATGTGAGGAACTTACTTCTTAATATCCTATGTTTTAAGATTTTTCAGATTTAATGCATAAAATTCATTTTAACACATATATGTACACACATATTTACATATATATATATATATATATATAGAGAGAGAGAGAGAGAGAGAGAGAGAGAAACCTGGTAACCAAATCATAGATGAAGTTATCTGGAGTTTGGGATTTAAAGGTTTTGATGAAAGAGGGCATATTCCCAAGCAAAGGCCATCCCATATCTCCCGGAGGAAGAAGCTGCTTCTTCTTCCCCAACCTCCTAACATAATACCACTCATTTACTCTCCTCACTAACCCAAATACTACCACATATCCACACACAATACCTCCAAATATTAGTAAAAGCAAATTTAAGTACTGCATTTTCTTTTTAATTATTCTCTTTTTTCTGTTTAAGCACTTCTATTTATAGTCCATCGTTAACCATCCAATATCTTTTTATTCTTACCAAGTAAACGTCCCATTTATAAAAAATATATATATATATATATTTATATGTCTTTTGTTTTCATGAATGCAAACCACCTCTATGTCATTTTCATTTCTTTCCTAATTTTAAAATAAACAACTTTGTTTCTTCTCTATTCAATCTATGCCAGTAACTTCCAATATGACCTAGTTGTTATTATATATTTGTGTATGTGTATATATATATGGGACCATGTATCTAGATATTATATTACTTATAATTAATAAACCCATTTAATAATTAATTATTACAAGCTGAGTATCTTGCTCAGTCTTCCTATTTATATGACTACATTTTTTAATACATTATAAAAAAGAGAAAAATGTAACCCAAACGATAAGCAAACATGAGTTGCGTACTCAAAACAAGTTGACTTTTTTCCCTATGAGAACCTTTTGCTCCCAAGTTGATAAAATAATGATCAATTAAAAATTTTTTTGGTCAAGAATTATGTTAAAAATTTTAACTTGGTATTTAAGCTGAAAAAATAAATAATGATATATAAATATATATAGAATAACTCTAATAAGTAAAAGTAGTAAGTTAAACATTGGAAAAAATAAGAATAAAAAGAAAAGTGGAACCCTCTCTAATGAAGTTTTGATTGTGGGAGACCTACCAATGCAAACAACTGAAGTTTGATAAGGATTATTGAACCTAGATAATTTTTTTTGAATATTAACGAAGACATAGTATATTATTTTAGTAATGTTTAATAAGCTTTTTTAATGTTGGAATAGATTTATAAGCTTAAAATCCCACATGCATGATAAAGAAATATTTCAAGAATGTTTTTTCATGAAGAAAATCAAACTTAGAGTGGCCAAGAGGAAACAAAGATCTAAAGAAACTTACGTTGAGTTCTAGAACATTTAAAAAATAATTTATGAATGCTAAAAAATTAAGGACTAAAATATTGTTTTAGTTCATGTATTATTTTTTTTTTCTGTTTGATTTGATCTTTACTTCAATTTTGTGTTAAATTAATCTATAAACTTTCGAAAATATTTGAATTGATTCATCTCTTTTATTGTTCACTAATACCTTTATTCAATAGTATTATTTTGAATCAATTTCAATATTATTCTTTAAATAACATTTTAGATGAAATTATTAAAATTTTTACACTTAGTACATTAATGCTAATAAATAAAACAAAAAAATTATTATTAATTTAATTATATATTAAAAATATATATAATTATTAATATATTTTAAGAGTTCTAAGTCGTATATTATTAATTATTTAATATTAATTATTTTTGGCTTATTATTTAACTTTGAAAGTTAGTGAATAAGTAATTGTGGTGCCTAGTATATTATAAATAATATTAGAGCAGTTGTGAGCTCAATAACTCTACATCGAAGGAATTTTACAACTTTTAGACATCTGAATTGTTATGTAATATGCAGCATATATCCCAGTTTGATATAATTTATGCTTGTAATATGTACTCTACTTATCTTTCTTTCATATAGGAGTGTCCATCGATTCGAAATTAAGTCGGATTAGATTGTATTGAGAACTTAATAAGAGAGAAGATTCGGGTTGAAGATCAGATTGTTTTCATTTCGGTCCCAACTAGGACATATTGATATTTTCCAATTTACATGCAATCTAGTTTGAAATAGGTCAAACTATTGTTATTTTAATATATTTTTTAATTAAAGAATTATAAAAAACACAAAAAATTAATAAAAGCAAAAGGTAAATCTGGTTCAATCTACTAGGTGCAAATAAGCTAGAATTTTGATTTGGGTTCCCAAAGTGAGAATAAGACCATTTCGTTGAATCCAATTGAAGTTGAATAATCTAGTCCAAACTGGGAAAAGAGAATACCTATACTTTGAGAGGATGGATTGAGTCACTATTTACTCATTCAAGGTTGGACATGAAAGTTATACATGAAGAATATGTATGCATATGAAGATGTATCAATGTATGTATATACAAGAATAAGTATGTTTTTTTATACAAGAATAATTGTATACATATATATATATATATATAAATACGTGGTAGGTGAGACACAAAAACTATAAATTAACCCAATATACAACTACTCAAGTAATCTCCTGATAGTAAACTATTCTAATAATATGGGAGAACTTGTTGGCTGTTTCTAATAAATTGTAATAACATCATTGTTAATAAGCTTGACATGGTCGCCCATTGAATTTCATACAATTTCCACATAATTAATTACATGCACCCTACATAATATAAAACAACTTCAAGTAAACATATTAGGAGAGTTTATAAATTACACAGCATCTAAATACTTATAACAGCATTTTAAAAAATTATTAGATATAATTTTTACTTTAGTGAAATCATAATATTTTCTAAAAAATGTTTGTATTGATCAAGTCATAAGAAACAAAGATAGTCTCACTAATATATATTCTCTAATTACAGTATTTCTCTTTTTTCGCTTTTTTGATGTTGTTATTCTAACAAAAATGAGAGTTAGATCAACTACATTTTTACTAAATATATAAATATAAACTAATAAAATTTAGAACAATTTATTAATTTAATAGCTGAAATGTGAGCTATACGTTTTTATTCAGTTCCAATTTTTGTCTAGTTTCAATTTAGTTTTTAAACGTATAAAATGATTTCAAAGTATAATTTTTAATTTTTTAATAAAAATAGCATATTTTACTTGATTGACATAAAAATTACAAATATAATTATTTTACTTAAGATTGAATAACAAGTTGATAATCTAAGTCAACAAGAATTTAAAATATTATAATGAAAGCATTATTTATATGTCAAATAAATATTAAGACTACACTTCCGTTGTTCACTTGACACTCGCAACATTATTTTAAACACAAATCATGTAATCTAGACACTGACCTATTCTGGATCTGCATTTTGTTCACCAACTTTTAATATATGTATAATTATAATTATAATGTGTTGTTTACTACTAATTTAAATATCATTGCTAAGGTTAACGTATCTTAGACTTATAATTACAACAATATCTTATTACTAATTTTATTGCTAAGTATGTATCTTATTCGGTAGTTATAAATTAAGCTATCTCACCTACCAACTTAAATAAACAATAAATGGGAGACATAAGGAGTATAGACACCTTCTTTTCCTTTTAACTTCTATTTCAATAATGGATGATAATTGGATTTCCCACTGAATGTATATTTTAATTAATCATGAAATATAAATATGTATATGAAAAGTATATTTTCTTTAATTCTCAATAAACCAGAGTATAAGCTAATACCAAATCCAAATAACATCCATGATTAAACAAATAAGTCAATAAATTATCAGTTAGTACTAAGGAAGAATAAGTCCTTAACCAACAAGCTTAGTTAATCAAAATAGCACACCGAGCTGCCAAGTAACAAAAGAAAAAAATACACACAAGTAGATAAAGCATATAAGTAAGGAACTACAAAAAAGTAGGTGGTAAATAGCTTTACGAGGACATTATCTACAAGATTTATATATGCTATGTGACACCTTTGGACCTGTTTAACTTGAATTATTTATCTTTTAAATTTAAATTTAAACTTTACAGTTTACAAATTTTGTATGATGATTTTAATTATTATTATTAAAAAGGATATTTAAAATTTAAAAACAAACGAAGAAAACAAAGGGAGAACATGTCTCGGGGGCAAGTCTCGGAAGGAATGCCCGTGAGTATGCGCGCGAAGATGCGAGATTGCTTGCCCACGCACCCGCAAGCCCCTGTGCATGCGGAACAGTGCCACACACGCACACAAGGGGTAAGATCTGCCTGCTACAGTGGTCGTGCCGGTGTCATTGCAGCACGCTGCCATAGGATACAACCTAGGCCCAGATAGGAGGCATCACTATAAACTGTATATCCTCCCGATCCACTCGGTAAAGCCAGTACGGGTGCAGTGGTCAGCCACTCCTTTAATTCTGAAAAACTTTTCTCACAGTCCTCATTCCACTCAAACTTGGCATTCTTCTTTATAAGTCGGGTTAGGGGAGCCACTAGACTAGAGAATCATTCGACGAACCTGCGGTAATAACCTGTCATTCCTAGGAAGGTACGGATTTCCTTAACTGATGTCAACTTCTCCCAGCCAAGTACCGCTTCAACTTTTTCGGGATTCACTGATACTCCTTCCTTCGATATGATGTGTCTTAGGAAGGCGGTCTGCTCAAGCCAGACTCCACACTTACTCAACTTTGCATATAACTTCTTTTTTTCAAGAACCTACAAAATTTGGGCTAGATGGTGAGCATGCTCTTCTCTGCTTTTTGAGTAGACCAAGATGTCATCGATGAACACGATAACAAATTGATTCAAGAATTCTCTGAAGACCTTGTTTATCAGATCCATAAAGATGGCCGGGGCGTTGGTTAGCCCAAATAGCATGACTAGAAACTCATAGTGTCCGTACCGGGTTTGAAAGGCCGTTTTGGGGATGTTTTCTGTTCTTATTTTCACATGATGGTAACCTGATCGTAGGTCTATTTTGGAGAAGACCTGCGCGCCCTGCAGCTGATCGAAGAGGTCATCAATTCTGGGAAGGGGATATTTATTCTTGATTGTGACCTTGTTCAATCCTCTGTAATCAATACACAGTCTCAACGTTCCATCTCCCTTCTTGGCGAAAGTGACTCTGGCACCCCAAGGAGACACATTGTGTCTAATAAAATCACTGTCTTGCAATTCAGTGATCTGTTTCCTCAGCTCTTCCATCTCAACGTGGCTCATGCGGTAAGGAGCAATCGAAATGGGCTGGGTGCCTGGTTGTAGGTCTATAGTGAACTCAACTTCCCTGTCCACTGGCAGTCTGGGTAGTTCGTTCAAAAATACATCTGGAAAGTCTAGGACTACTGGAATCTCTTGAATACAAATTTCAT